AGTCATTTATTCTATTTTATTAATAATTAATAATTCAATTTTATTAATAATTATCTTTTTGGGAGCTTATAAAAATATTTTTTTTTTCAACTATTTTAGCAATTTTTTAAAAATAGTTTTTAATATTTATTATTCACATTCTTAAACTTTTCTTAAAGTAAAAAGTTCAAACAACTCAAACCATTAAAAGTACATATTTATCTTTATTAAACCGTAACATTTTTGTTTAAATAAATTAAAGATTCGTTAAAACAAAACAAATAAATTTAAAAGTTAAATTACCGCCATTATTTACTGCTAATGGGTTTGTTTCTTTATTAAATATGCAATTTTTTTTTAAATTTAAATCACACGTTATTTTCAGAATTTTGGTAACTTTAATTGATTTTGTACCGCTTAGTATTTTCCAATAGAAGAAATACAAAACGTGTATGCTGGGGTGGGTACTGTCTGTCATAAATAGTTATATTCGAAAAAGTGAGTTGACTATATCTTTACGCAAATTTTAAAAGGTTAATACCTATATTTTGAAGCAGACTGTTCGATATATTTGTTTGGTTGTCGACTTGCTTTTATTGGAAATATATTCATACATAAGTTTAGTAGTGTCCTTGTTACTACTAGTGCCCTCAATGAAATTATAAGTTCTAGTTGGGTCGCTTTGTTGACATCACAAATTGTAGCAACATTGTTAGAGTGATTTTGCCAAGCAACGTAAAAGATATCTTCTAACTGATAAGTATCTTCTTTTGCTATGCTCCGGAGAGATACACAGAGATAATTAATACTTTCTTCTTATCGCAGTAGTCATTAGTATAATACATTTTCTTGAGTAGTGATGATCTATAGAACAGCAACAAATATAAGGCTTGCATGCACAGAAGCGTTTGAGATTTTTTAAGTTCCGATTTGGGAACCAAATAAACCTTGTGTGTCTTTCTTTCATTTACTATAAGTCTATTTCTTTTAGACCAATTGAGTTTTGTTTATGAACATGTCGCTTCTCGACTGGAAAAGATGAGCTTTGAGTTTTATTCCTCCATTCTACCCTTTAGTTACTTTCTTCAGAAACATGTTTTTCACTAAAAATTCACAGACCGTTAAAGAAACACTAATCTGCTACATTCCTAAATATAATTATGAAGTATATCAGATACTTCAGTTGTGAGTTTATTTCGTTAGTTAATATGTTAAATTAACCTTTTTTATAAGTATATTGTGTATTGAGTTACTTAGCTTTGTAGTTTAACCATTTTTATATTCCATTAATTTATTTGAAAATATAGTTTTATAAAATATTATATATTTATAACAACATTAGCTTTAATATTGAATTGCTTAGATATTTAAACATAAAATAATTTTTAACTTTATATTTATTATATTGAAAATAACTTTTTGGGATGCTTTGACCACTCACGTAATTACGTATCTTAGATAATTGTTTAGGTGTTTTGTAACTGTAACGATTTAATGAAAAGATACAAAAACTTCGCATTATTTTCCTAATGATTTTATATGAAATCATAACTAATTTGGTAACCAACAACCGCAAGTGACCCTAATTAAGCGAACTGATCTTAAAGGCTAGCCAAATTATGATATTCCAAAAATTGCCAAAAACTTAATTGAAGTGTTTCAAAAGTAAAAGTGAAAAAAAACGAACGTTCGGTTTTCGGTATGTATCTATTTGAAAGTTGAAAATTGTGTAGTTACTTTGGCAATATGTACTTGCTTAACGTATCATTAGTTTTGGCCATTTAAGCGCGCGTATATGGTATACGTCTAATTAAAATTCCTAATTTCAGATACTTTTTATTATTTTATATTTATTTGTTTTGGCACTGCGGCTGTGGTCTGCTTATTTCTGGCTCCTTCGGTTTAATCTTATCATTTCCGTTTGTTTGTTGGTGTGTTGCTCACAATATCGCAAAAAGGTAATATCAACTAATTTGGCATTGTTTGAATTTTATTATATCACCACACAAATTTGCTTTCTTATCACATGTACTACTATATACACGTTTTAGTTACTTTTTTATAACAATTTTGTTATTGTTGAGTTTTCAACAAAAATTTTATTCATACAATAAATTTTTTTGCGTCCAATCCAAAATAACTTTTACGAAGTTTTTATTAGATTCGCTTTTTTTTGCTGAGATTAGTTTAGTAATCAATTGTTTCGTGTTTTTTTACTGTAGGGACTTGTTTTTCTACTTTTGTTTTTTATCAATTTTTGATTGAACTCTAAAAGTGCGGTAAATTGTTAACACAGATACACACGCATACAATCGAGTAACGTTTGCGTAACCTTGGAGTTACGTTGTGTGGTAGCTCATTGAGAACGTTGAACGTAAACATTGCTAAACTACTTAAGATTTGCACTATCTTCTGGCATTGAGAAGTAGTGACACCCTTAAAAATTATAGTTTATTACTATGAGTGGAACCACTTATGCCAGATGCCCCTTGTAAAGTTTTTTCAGAGCATTTTGAAACTATTGTTTTACTTGACTTTCAATTGAAATTTTTTATATTGATTTGAGCCGAAATACCTTAGAAGAGACCTGCATATCTATACAATACTATAACTTCTAGCAGTAATAATAAGAACACTAAAATATTTGTTGAGCATTTCAGAATTCTTTTGTGAAATGAAAGAAGAAGGTAAAAACTTGTGGCGATGACTAGTATATTCGTTTGATGGTACTCGATCTAGATACGGATCATACTTCTGAACTTTGATATTCTTATATAGAACTGCGTCAACTGAAACAACATACTTATCTCTAAAACTAAGATTCCTCATATTCCCAATATTTCTAACCAATAGATTAGAGTTATAAGATTGAAACAAACCAATACTATGTTTAAAGAGTCTTGTCATAGAACCAAATCGAAATCACAGACGAAATAGGTTCAGATTTATATAAGTTTTGAAAAGATATAGAATTGTAGTTACGATACGCTCCAAGTATTTGCGCATTTATTCATGATAAATAAATGGTTATTAGCTAATAGAGTATTTCTTATGTTCAAGCACTAGTGTATCTTCCTGAGGACAACTGAAGCTAATAAACGGGACTGTTGAGAACCTTAATAGTATGATAATAGCAGCTACAGTCCCGAGAAATTACCAAATCTTTTGTAGGATTATGGTCGAAATCTGAAATGGTTTCCTCATTGCAATAGTTTATGTTTATGTCACTAACTGATACACTGCTTATTGGCATTTATTCTTACTACCCGGCCCATCTATGTTATGCACTGTGATTTGAGGTATCTTACAAAGTTTTGGCTTCTTATTATTCTTACATCTTGTAGTAATAGATCATTTCGGAGTTCAGTTGACAATAGAATTAAATTCCCAAGAACTGCACTTATCGTCATAATTGTTGTACGGTTATACATTTAAATGTATAATCACAATTTCTCTATCGCCGTAATTATCATAAAACATTTTTAATTATATCATTCAATACTTCTAACCACACAAAATTGGCAACATGCTCATTGTCACCTGTATACAATTCATCAAATTGTCATTAAGATAGCGATCAATATTTTATTTATATCTATAATATATATGATATTTTTAATTAGCCTATTTTTATCTCATAAAATTAAATTGATTTGAAGTTGCGCACATTCAGTGTTCCCCATACCCCTCTTCCAACTGGCTACGTGCCTGATCAGTGGTTTTAGTTTATTAGTACATATATACTTAAGCTAATAAATTTGAGTTTTGTTTTGGAAAATCATTTAAAATTTAGAAGGTTTAGTCTAATTTCTAATTATATGATTTATAAGAATTTCTGTTCTATTTCAGCATTTTATATAGATATTTTTTTTATAATTATCAGTATAATATTTTATAATATAGGTATACTATTATAATAATAATATAATATTATTGAAAGTTCAACTGCATTATTTTGGTTAGTAATAATATTGTGTTAGAAAGTAATTTAAGATTGGCCATGAACGTTCATTAGCAATTTGCCTACCAAATAAGTTTTGAATAAAAATATCCAATCAAAAATAATTTTCATACGATGATAGATAAATTTAAGCTAATTGTTTTGAAATAACCACGTGATTCATGGCAGCAAATCGAAAATTAAAATATTGAAACTATTTGTGAAATTTATTTTCCTCTAGTATTAGATAACTTTTCGGTTTTTATTTTTTAAATAAAAAAATTTTGTTTTTTATTAATGTAGACCTATATTTATTTATGACATAAATAATATAAAGTACAGTTAGTCACGTTATATTAAGGAGCATTAAAAGGACCAAAAAATCATATTTCGATTCAGAAAACGCTAACCTTTCAAGATGTCTTTTAAAGAACTTCGAATTTAAGTATTCATCAATGCATTTATATATTGCAAACTATTTGAATATGTATATCGAATAGCGAATGATTTGAATAAGTAGATTATTGAAGTGATTTTGACTCTTTGGTATTTTGCTACATACAATTGTTTATATTGTACATATGGTTGCAATGAGGGTCAGCATTAGTTCTATGGGTTATGGCTTTTGTCTTTCTATTTTTATTAGCATTTATTGCTACTGTTGTATGTATAAACTAATGAACTGCGTTGAATGAGTATCGAATGAGTATATGCTTGCGCCAAAAAGCGAATGTGTAGGGATCTGAGATAAGTGAAAGGAATAATCAATTGGGACATTTGTTCCGAAAAAAGATTCCAAATATTTATTATAGACAAAATAGTCTGAAATCAAGAATATGTTGAAAAATTTTATAGTTCTTATTTATGAAGTAATTAAAAATCATTTTTTATATAATTTATAATTCATAAAAAGTAAAATGAAAAGTATTTTCTAATACTTAAACTAATACTTAAACATTTTCTTTCTCTTTCAGAGTCTTTCAACGTTTTAATTACATTTTAAAAATTTGCGTTAATGTTCATATAAAATTACTATAAACATGGCCAAATTAACATAAAATAACAAATCTTTATAGTTTGAAAAAAAAATAAAGTATATAATCATTCAATCTCTGAAAAAAGTGCCAATAAAATATAAATAAATAAAAAAATAATCGCAGTTAAAAAAAAAGCAGCAATTCTTGAGACCATGCCTTATTGTTCAACTATTTTTGGCTTATCGGGAAAAATTTAAATAGGAGCATATGCTCCTAATATCAAAACTAAATTTCCAAATTAATTAAATATATTTAAATTATGCAATAACTTAAAATCGTGAAAAAAGCAAAAAGTATACAAATTGAAATCAAGACATATACTATAAGAAATTTACTTATGTATTGTAGTAACCAAGATGTAATAACGGGTCCGGTGTATGTTTTATTGTCTCGGAACAGGGTATGTGTAATGAGATACGCATATATCACAGCTAATAATAATGAATCTTAATCAGCATAGTGGTCCAGGCCCACCAGAAACTGTCAATGATAAATTAATCGATATCGATGAAGTCGATTCAGCGGGCCACGTTACAAAAACATTGTTAAAAACAATTCCTACAATACAATCGAATGGTTACGGTGCTGGAAAGACAATAAATACGCCTAATAAATGTGCTTATACATGTGCAAATATAACGACCACTACATTTTCTGGTGCTGTTAATGGTGGTACAATAAATAAAATGGCTAATATAGCGCAATTACCGCCTCCGTCGGTAACGTGTACCATATCGTCAGATCGTTTAGTGACGGGTCCATCGTGTCGTGCGTTAAGAACAGCTGTTTCAGCATTATATTCGGTCGACGATTTTGTTAAGGAGAAAATCGGTTCGGGATTCTTTTCCGAAGTTTATAAGGTAAGATTAAACGTTTTTAATATATGTACATATAGATTATAAATATTGGAATTTTTTTTAAAGTAGAACTGCATATATATTAGTATGATATTAATAAAATTAAGTTTTTTTTTAGTATTTGTATTTCTTTTCGATTTGGGATTAGTAAAAAATAGATTTGATATGAACGTTTGCATGTAGAAAATTGAACTTAATTGAAAATTGAAAAATAATATAAATATGAAGGACTTTAGAGACAAAACTAGAGGGGAAAACTTGCTATTTTTGACTGTTAATATTGGTTTAATCAAAATAATTGCTTAGTACAGATAAAATATTCGTTAAGTTTATTCAGTATTTATTAAGAATTTGATTAATATAAAAACAAAACTTATGATGTAAATCAATAATTAACTTAAAAAAGTTACATTTTCAGTAATGTTATCTATCATTGGATAGATTGAATTGGATTGGATAAAAATAACAATAAAATTGTTATAAGATTTATATCTGTATCTGTAGAAAATCTCCTTATTAACAATTTCAATGCCTAACATAAAACATTTTTGATGTTAAAATTGTTAATATATTAATCTTTGTTAAATTGGTTAAGTGTATTGCATTTAATCAAAATTTTTTTACTTTTAATCTCATGTATATTACATTTCTATTGCTTAAAGTAACTAACTACCTTCAAAAATATCGCAGTGGTTAAAAGATTGTTGGAATTGGAAAAAAATTTTTCCCTTCAACAGTTTTAATTTCAATTTAGTTCAACTTCATTATTTCATTATATGTCACTTTCATTTTCGTTCACAATGAATTTTCTTTCGTTACGTAGTCATGTCGTTTTACTTTACGTATTTAATCACAACAAAGATTAATCAGTCACATTAAATATAACTTCACATAATACGAAACACGCCAGGTCTCAAAATTATATGTAGCCTCCTCATATGTGTAACCATCTCTCATTTCTGCATACAATCGAAGCAACAAATTGGTGCATCGGTCTCTACATCAACAACATTAATAATAACAACAACAACAACAAAAGCAAAAGCAACATCATCAACAACAACAACAACAACTGCAATTGCAATGACAAATGTGTGAACAATGGCTGCATACCAATGTTGGGGTCTGGAATTCGCTGCCTGTGCTCACTCATATACCATTCATGCATTCATTCATGGGTTCGTTCGTTTTGTAAAAGTGAAAATTATCTCAGCACCAGCATTGTATCTCAAACATGGCGAATGAGTTTCAGTTAAATTTAATAAAATATTTGATTTTGTACATATTTTTTCTTCACTTTTCCCAATTTTCATAATGCGGTGAAACCGTGTACAAACTTTAGCTTACAATGGGTTTTTAATTAATGCTTGTTTACTCTTCTTGCATCGAGAAAATTTAAAATAATTTCCATATACTTCTCCCATTTAATAGATTATTGTAAAAGTAAAAGCCTAATAGTTTGAAATGACCAAATTAACAAATTATTCATCAATTCGGTGTCACTTAAATTGCTCATGGGCAGTAATTTCATTGCAAAGTGATAATCTTGATTATGCCCACAAAACAAATTTCGGCATAATTTCTTTTGATTACTAAAACCATCGAGATTTTTTTTGCAAAAATCTCACGTTTAACACATTTCCTCCAATAATTCTATTTAGTTTCTTTCTTAGTTAGCTCCGAGCCTTCTTTTTTTTAGTATTGGCTGTCTTGCCGCTTTGGAGTCTCAAACCCATCAAAGCCATCAAAGCCAAACCATTGCATAAATTGTGACTTAAAGCAATTCTTCAATCGTCAACCAATCACTGATCACTTGGTTGGTGGATTGTATTTCAATATGAAGATTGAGTTTTGTCTTCCACTCTTCTTTCTTCTACTAAAATAGTTTTACTTTCTTTTTTGCTTTCTTATAGAAACCTTTGAAAGCTCCAAATGACACATGTCCAAAACTTTTTATATCCAAGTTTTCTATTATTGTTTATAATTATTTTGTTTAAAATGTTATTTGTTTATTAGTTATTTTATGTGATTTTTTATGAGCTCTCTATGAACCTTAGACTATGAGGCTATAAGTTTTATAAATACTCGTAAACTGTAACGCACCAAAAGCCTGCCGCCATGATATAATTTATTGATTAATATGTGTCTATATATGTATATATATTTTTAATTTATAAAATGCATATTTATGTTATTTATTGACTTTGTTGAAACGAATTGCTCTGATGGTGATTTTATTATGTGCGATCAGGCCATGTGCAACACAAGTGCCTACTTTAAAACGATTGGCGCCAAAAGTTAGTGAAGGGCGTTGGAGAAATGGAAAGTGATATCTTATGTGCACATATAATGTGGTTATTATGTTGTAATATATACAATATTAGTTTTCAGTTAATAACCGTTGCATTTGGTTGGGCAATGCTTTATCATTTATTATTAAAATAATTTTATTTATTTGCATTAAAATAGGAGAGAACTTACATAAGGCATATAATAATATCCCAAATATTCAATGGACTAGTTTTGAAGCAATCTAATTACCTAACATTTTTATTTTTGTACGAGTATGTATTGAAAGTAGAAATGCTGTATCATATTTATTAAAAAACGTTTTTTGTTAAAAATAATTTAAACTACTTCACATAATATTTCATCGAGCTACAAAACCAAAAAAATATTTCGACTCTTCATTTAACATAATTCTATATAAATTGTCATAATTAGAGCCATCGGCTTAAGCACAAGTGCTTAAGATTTAAGAAAAACAAAATAAAATAAAAATTAAATAAATATTTTGTAACAACGTCATATTCTGATAGCTGCACAGCTTAATGTGTGATGTAGATTGATCATATATCATGGTGGCATATATCTGTCTTTTGTAGAGGACCTTATCACTGATCACTGATACGGCATACAAACTTTTCGCAGTATTTTTTAAGTTACGTAGTAGATTTTTATTTTATATTGTTAAAGTCTATTACTCTGTAGATACTGTACTTGAGGTGCCGTGATAATAGTCGCGTAGCAAAAAAGTTGTTATGTGCATAGAAGGTTTTATTAGCATCGATCCCTAATTTCGTTATTACTATTTATCAGTACCCAAAGATGTTTAAATATTTCCACTTCTTCACATACGTAGCTGCCTGCTTTGATATTTTCTGGTTTCTGTCTATTATTTTTTGATATACATATCAAGAGATGGGTCTGTCTATTTCTAGACAAGAGATGGGTCTGAAAATATATAAAATGGGCGAAATAACAGCAACATCCATAACAAGCACAAAATCATATTTATATATTCAAATTTTAACTCTAATTTCTTAGAGCATTGCTTCGCAGGTTGCATATCACAGCTATGTTTCCACTAGGACACGGCAGCGCAAACTAGATGCCATCACGGTGTCCAAAACAGATGCGAACACGGGCCAATACAAATCACTGTATAGATTGGGGGGCCGCAGAAATAAATACATACGTTATTAGTTTTTTTCGACAAAAATAAAAATAATGTTATAATGTTAGATTTAGTTTTATTAATTTATGAATTTAAATTCATTTATTTAAATGTATCAAATTGATTTTAAATGTATCACTATAGGAAACTATGCGAAATCTAATAGCAAATAGTATTTCAAAAACAAATACTATAAGTGATTTAAAAATTGTGTCAAGTTGAAAACACGGAATCGTAAAATTGGAATTATTAAATTGATTAAGGATATAATTACACTAGTTAGATATAACATTTAGAATTAAATTTTAAAATAATGTAATACCGTCATTTAAATTTTATATAACAATATAATTTTAATCAGCTATAAAGGTTAGTTTTATATATCATTAGATGTATGAGCGTCTCTCAACGGGGTTGATCATAAATTTGTGTTCGTATATCGATTTTAGAATGGTGTTTTATTTAAATAACATACTTTTAGTTCTAATTTTATTTTTCCATCTAGAAATGTGATTTGTGCGTTTATAATAAATAATTGTTTCATTCAAAAAACGTGTAATCTATAAAATCTTTTGCATTTGGCAAAGTGAGAGCATTATAACTGATATTACACCTTTTCTATTAAATATTTTATTATGCAGTTCCTTTTCCAATTGTATAATTGCATCATTCTCATAAAATAAGGCACTGGTAATTGATGAGCTCAATTGAGAGTTAAGTGTAGACTGACACATGGACTGATAGAGAACAGATATTGTAGTTGCAGCCATTAAATAGATAAAAAATTCAAGTGTACACGTAGACGTGCCAACATCAGCATCAACATTATCATCCTCATCGTCATTATTAACATCAATCTTTCTGTACTCATACAAAGGAATGTAGAATTTTATTGCAAAACGTGCGCATATTGACACTGAAATTGAAAAGATTGAAAACCTAAAACTCAGTCAATTCACAATGGCATAGTACGGAAATTTTTAGTTATGTTGTGATAAATGCACATGCACTTTACGATGCCATAAACTGTGTTTGGTACTCCTCCACTTTGTGGCTGTGGTTGAGGAATTGTCTATTCTATTTTTCAATGCATTCGAGAATGGCTTTCATAGAGATTTTTAAATAAAATAAAATTTCAAATTGAAATGTGGCTGAAAGATTTTCACTTTATTCTGGTTGTTGATGCAATTGCTTTTGCTGCAATTCCTGTTGCTGTTGCTGGGCAGCTGCGCACTGTTGCAGCTTAACAACCCATTGAGTGCAAAGTTCACATATGGAACGGCAATTATGTAAAACTCTGGTTTTTCAATGCAAAGTGGAATGAGAAAGAAATTTCAAATTGGTTTTGACTTTAACAATGCAAAGAGCATAAAAAGATTTAATATGAAAATATTTTGCCGTTTTTAAATTTGTTTTGTATGTACAATTTAAAGCGGAAGCAAATTATTAATTAATTTGTGTGTAACCGCGCAACGATTTAAAATGCCTACATAAATATGTAAATATGTAAATAATTATATTTGTGCGCCTGGACACGCACCCCTTT